AAATTCTATGAAAAACATCAACTCATATAATTGTGGGCAAGATCAACTACCAATCCTCCATCACCTTAAACGAAACAGGGTGAATACATCTCATATAACTGATTTCTGGATAGTCTCGAATCTCTGCTTATGAACGAAGAATGTCTACAGCTAGACGGAGTTGACAGGACCCCGGATCAATCCCCGGCTGACAGGTATCATTGAGCAGTACTTCGTTTTTAAGGCCACTATATTTTTTATATATCTACGCCCGGTATCCAATTCACCTCACCTTATCCATTATACATCCAAATTGCATAAGATTCACGTCTACTGGCTGAATTAACAAACTCAGTAACAACCAGTCCTTCAGGCACAGAGTCAATGGAGGCTGACTACTCAGAGATGCTGGAGCAGTTCGTGCCAATTAACGGAGTTGAATCAGACTATCGTGACAATCCTGTTTTCACATCGGCTGACTTCTACGAAAACTGTCAACATCTCCCCTCCCTGTCGGTCGGAGTCACTCTGCTGCCAGGGGCTGGCCGAGACGGAAGATCAGTGCTTAGGCTTGACTCCAACGTGGCTTTTGCATTGGTGGGTTGGGATCTTAATTTGGCTTATTGACTAATTTAATATTTTATTTTCCCCTTTACTCCCTTTATTAGTGCTTATGGTGAATGGCTAAGCAGATTAAGAGTCCTTTCTCGATCTACCACTTACAATTATTCGCTTTTTATCTGATGCATTCGAGTTGGAGAATATACAGCCATGCTCACTTTTGTCCAACAAAATAAGTTTCAGGATGCTAGGAATAAAATAACAAGGTTGGGGAGACTTTCACGTCGTATGAAAGTGCGTGAAGAAGAGATTCGTACGTTGATCTCACTATAAGGCGGTGGATGATTACCATTGTACTGCAGCCGTTTTTGCTTTAATACGACATTCAGTTTGATGCTGTCCATGAGATAGCCTCCCTCGTTTCGGGTAAAAATAGCTTTTGTCTGTCAAATGATGAAAATCTTCAGAGCCACAACTGATTCTTGTAAAAGTCTCAAGTTAAACACTAAGTCAAGAAGACCTTCCGGCTCTTTCTTACCCCGTATATATATTCATAACTAAAGAATGAAACTGTAATGGCACAGATGAATATGGAAGGATTTGGCTAATTATCTTTCACATTGGTCATTCTACTTTTGCTCATGTGTGTGCATGTGTGTGTGCTAAATTCTATGCGCAAAACTGTTCCTAAATCAGACTGATCACAAAGGCCTCCTGTCATGTTCCGGTTATCAAGACTTAATATGACCCAAGAAAAAACCCTGACCCTGCCCCTAAAAAATAAGTTTCTGACTGCTGGAATAAAATGACGGTTTACTGCAGGCAAAATCTCTTTATCAAAGCACCATATTCTGCCGACAAGAATAACCATTAGCATGTACGGAATAGAAGCATCATTCTCATTACGGTCGTTGGAAGATGACACCGTCTCATTTTACCGGGTTGTTCGAATATGTTTAGGACGCTGTCTTATAAGATCCTATGTTTTTGGTACGGACAATCTAAAAGCTAGCATTGCTAGTTGGTTCAGTCTTATAAATGTTTATCTCTTACTGATTATTTTGTAATTTTTAATTTTTTCCCATTTCGAGGGGATATTAGCTATTATTTTACTACATATATAAGCCTGTGCCAGTTAAACTTGTCACAATGAATCAAAAAATCGTCTGTCAAAAAGATTTTCTGCGCAATTTAAACAAACGGTGCATTTTTGTCTAAACTTAACTGCACTTCTGATCTT